TATTTTGCACATGGGGATTTCCCCGTTTACTGTAATTCACTTTGTGTAATAAAAAAATATTATTATTATTATTATCGTTATTGTTGTTGTTGTTGTTTTTAATACAGTGCGAGTGAAGCAGTTGGCGAAAAACTGTCCACTTCAAGAATGTTGTGCTGCAAAACTTGAGAAAAAGAAAATTATGATTTGACAGACAATCAATCTACAAGAAATACAATCTGAATTTCAGCATCTGATAATTTATGATTACTGCCTGAAATGGGATGACACTATGGTAATCGAAAACACATCACTGATTGGGTAGAAACAAATGATTATAAGTGATACAGGTTCCATTTGTTTTCTCCCACTGGATGACAACAGAGTTGGATTGGTCTTTTTGCACTGTACCCACGGAAACACAAGACATCTCGGAAGATAAAAAAACGAGCTTTTGGATATCAACTTAACATGCTGAGTATTTTTGAACGGATTAAGGTAGCTTTGGGTTTGATATTTTGTAACCACACACGCCTGTGTGATGAACAGCAGGATAGATGAATCCCATAGTCACAAAGACCTGCAGTTCAACGATGGAAACCTATAACCTAAGCTCCGGGAACTGGAGTGGCGAACCACTGAAGGACCCACTAGATCAGGCGTGGTATCGAATAGGGCAGCAGTGAAGCTACCNGAAGCTACCTATTACCGAAGTTGGGTAGCGGGGCTCCAACCTCAGACCATACGGTCCAAAGCACGGCGGTGACAACAACTAAACCACTGCTGAACCGCGACTTTCTCTCAAAATATTGCAGGCTGAAAATATTTGCAGCACTCTGCGTATTCAGTTTATTCTCAATAAAAAGGTACATCTACTAAACCTTCGCAGTCTTGCATTACACCGGTGTGATCAAGAGTACCACCCACAAACATGAACGTAACAGACGGTTCAATCTACATCGATAATCACTTCACTGAATTTCACTTCTGCTCTTGGCATGTGCACAGTAGCGGATACACAGTCGTCCTCATTCGGTAACTCTGCTTTTAATCGAGGCTTGTATTGTCCTTTGGATTTTGTGATCGACAAACCTTAACTGGCGCACCTAACGTAGCGCCGACGTAAGAAGATTTCAATTCGCGATTTGCAGAACCGAAAATCTCTAGCGCCTTAGAACAGTGAACAACAAAAGACCCCTATCGATTTGAGGTGGTTCTCGGTCAATAAGCGAAATGGAAAATTGGTCCACAACATACCAGTGCGAACAAGAGGCAATAGAATTGTAGACTAATTACAGAGAATACGGTTTGTCAACCGAGCCACGGCAAGAAAGAAATTCAAGCGACGACGGAAACAAATTCAATGAAAATAAGATTGCATAATAACAGAAGAACAGGGAAATTAACGGGTCCCCAGCGGGCAAACTCGATGAGGCCTCTTCAGGGAAAAGATACTGACGTTCATCAGCGACCTAAAGAGAGGTGACTGATGTGCAATGCCACTAGAAGAACCTGTCCGCAAATTCAGACCACAAACAATTGATTTTTTTAATGGGGAAAATCAGGCGATGGTGGTGGGATTCAACTATGTCCTTCAGGATGATAAGCTGATGATCACCACCACCCAGAAAAGGATGATCCCAAGATCACCCCACTACCAAAATCTACGCACCCAGGCAAGCCCGATTAGAGTTGTCGCAGGCTTCACCCGCCAGAGTGCAATGGCGAGCCTCCACCTTGATCCCGGTTCCAGATAATTTTATTTTCTTAAACTTCACTGTGCTAACGATGATCCGAGACAGAACTTACCTCCCGGACAGGCCATGACTTCGACATAATCGAATGGAAAAAGAGTGGACCTGCTCAGAGCGGATGATCGATTCGCACCAAGATCACCAACGGGTGAAACGGAAGTCGATTTTAACCTCTGCACCAAATTCTGAATATTTCGGAATCCATTAGCCACGGCAAATGCTAGCATAGCCGTTTGAGGTAGTTTGGACAGACGAAATGGTGTGCGTTTGTTCGGCAATACGGCTAAAGCTTGTTTAGCTGCATCACACTCGGATTCGTTTGCGAACAAGAGCATTTCCTATATGGAGCAATGTACGGGTAGGTAAGATGGAGGCAAAGAATGGATAAATACCAGATGATCAATGAACTCAGTAGGTGGGATCAAGTTGGGGAACTATATCAAATTTTTAGATTAGCAGTGATGGTCAAACTTAATATTAACTATAACAGTTTCGGTTCCCTAGAGTTTGCCGCTTATGTTCCTCTCTCGCACTTGGATCTACTCAAGACTCCTTGAAACAAATATTGAAACACATGTTCAACGATTGCTTTACGATTCCAATTTGAGTGATGAACGAGAGGAGTACATTCATAATCCCAAGGACTGAGTCAGTCATGTAAACCGGAAACATAAACCCTGAGATTTGAATTGTCCAAAAACAATAGCTATGGTATTCACCAGGGTGACAACAAACTCACCTATCACCAATATTACCTAACAACAAAAGAGATCGAATCTCGGGAATATTCAATAGCATGATGTATATTCTCTTCATTTCTAGGAACAGCGCTATTAGAGACACCCTTTAATGGTCTATTATTCTGGGATTGCATAACTGAATGTTCAAACAAAGCATAATTGCCCGTGCGATTGTTGAATTCGCACGGCACATACACCTCAGCTCTTGCAATCTAGGCTGTAAAACCACGTGGTCCAAATGGAACCAATAAAACAAATTTCCATGTGAAAAAGCGACATTGGAAACCGAACCAATAATGTATATGGGACAATGGTGAGACAAAGTAAGAACATAGGGAACAACTGATCTTTCAATTTTAGCCCTACATATTTCTGTTGGTAATTGTGAAAATGATCCAGTGTAAACAACTTGAAACGAATTTCGTACCTGGAGATCTCGGTTGTGCAACTGTCTGATGAGGACACGGGGATCTTCGAATGGATCTGACAGTGTGATATTGAAAAGCTTCTGAGCCGCGTAGATAAAAACATATGTCGAATACCCGCCAGACCCACTACCTAAGTGACGATATAAGACGGGTGTTTCGATTTGAATTGACGAAGCAGTATCCATGTCAAGGAGCAAATCTTGAAACAGTTCTTTTAGTCTGAAAAAAAATTAGAGGATAAAGAACTTTCTTCATGCATCCGTATGACCGGACACGCAAGCTTTCTATCATTCCACTAACTCACTTAGACAAATTTTCCTGTCTCAAGGAACTTAGGACGGGTGGGGCTGCGGTCCAATCATGGGCGGTGGAACAATCGCCAATCAATTGCACTAGTTCATTCGTGGCCAAAACAAGATCCACGTCCGGGATTTGTCCATCCTCCTCGCAGTCCGACTTGACAGTGAATTCACTGCGAGAAGCTTCCAGTTTTTTGTCGAAACACGGCATGATTGTGATATGAAAAACTGATTTTGGATTGTTTAATTTCACGAGGCGACCGATGGTTTGTTGTGGTGAACGGGTCCGGGAGAGATAGGGCACGAGTGAGAACCCTTCACCTGTGTCACTGCCAGAGACTGGACTAAGCACACCGTATGTTTTTTCTGCATAACAAACCCAGCCTGAAAAAAAGAGAGAAAACACACGCCGAAGTTAGAAGACAGTTGTACTTGTTTTATCATATGTATAAGACCATACCAAAACAACAGAATGACAAACATCAGAGATGAGTAACGGAGGACCCAATTCAAAATGTGTGACTGGGTGGTGGTGATGATGATAATGATGGTGTTGATGAGGATGATGTTACTACAGTGCACTGAAGTTACAGGTTTGATGTTCAAACCCTGTCATCGACCCCCTAGCGAACGTGGTAAAAGAAACGGAAAGGAGACAAATGTCGGGAGATGATAATACATTCTGTTTATTCTCCTTCATAGCTAACGTAAAACAAACTAGCATATTCATCCCGAAGCCCCCCCCCCCCNCCCATTAGTTTTTTGGATTATCTCCGCTCCCACAAGCATGACCATCACTATTTTCTAAAATGTAAACGGCCACTGAGTGAAAAGCCGAAATACGAAATTACATCAAATTACGTTCAATTTTAACAAAAAATATGTCGAAAAACAGAAGTTTTACCGCGAGAAACATATTAGCCCCCTCTGCCCTATGGACGCTAGACATTGAAGCCACTTCAATAGTCTGTATAAAATTTCGAATCATGTCAGTGTTTATAATGCTCTACTCCTTAATCGGCAATGCCTCTAATTCATGTTGTATATTGTAAACTCTGGAGTGTTGGTAGTAGAAAAAATTCTGATCGTTCTTCCAAGGTACAAGGGTTTCAGTTCGCAGTAAAATTTGTTCTGGTTGTAAGGTTATTAGAGCTATGAGTTTTTCATTTTCTTGTATTTCATCCAAGGGACCGTTTCAAGTGGTCGCTGTACCGTTTGCACCAAACCGTTCAGCTTAAGCACCGTTTTTATCTTCGAGGCATGCTCACGAAAATTGAGGCCACAGGTAGCAATCTGCCCTTACTTTTCCCGAGAGCTTTATCTAGTAACCGATCCGGTTGTAACTGTTTTATAGCTGTTTCCGCTTCAAATATCGTACCACAGTGTGACCAGGACCTATTTTACACCACCTAGTTTTCTCTTTTTATTACACAATTTGAATTACAGTAAAAGGGGGAATCCCCATGGACAAATGGCATGCTGTAAACGGGGAGAGTAGGAGAACATTCACGTAAGATCCAGTCTATTGCTTCTGCGTTTAAAAAGTGTAAGATTGAAAGCTGGGGGGGAACAGCAAGTGGGTGTTCCACAGATAGGTAGTTCGGGAAAAAAAGATTGGAGCAGAGAGGTACAACATCTGGGAACAGAAACCCGATATGGATGACTAGATGCCCGTGTACGGGATGGGCGGGTAAAAGTTGCAGGAAGAGGAACTGCCGAGACAAGTTCTCAAGAACAAAAACCAAAGAAATAACGGCAGAACAGGGACAATGTGCGCCGACATCGATCTCACCGTGAACGAACCTGTACAAGCAAAGATTACTGAACATAGAAGTAAAAGATCACCTCCACAGCGAGTGGATTGATTAGTTCAACTTTTTGCGTACAAAATTGGAAGGCAACGCTTCACTGATTGCGAAAGTTTAGCACTGTGGTTACGTAATAGTGGTTTGGAAGACAAAATATAATTAATTGTGTCTTGTTGCCATGACATGTTTTGTAAGAGATGGTTCCGGGATTTTTTTGATCGCCTGCCCATCGGTTACCATCGATTTCGGGAACCACTGTGGAATGTATTTGGACATCTGTTGTGATAGAAGAGGCTCCGTTCCTCCGGTCAACATATACGTTAACGCCAATCGCCAGTGAACTGGTAAACAATGTGAGAAACAAAACCGGTTTCCCAGCCATGTCTACTGTTTAACTATTTTGTTTGGAAGATTGTAACAAGACTCAAATGTAGCATACATAATTTTACAACTAAGCCGGCCTTATAAGTTCATTCGGTGGATTCAGTCTTGGCAGTCAGCTTATATGCACCTGGTGGATTTCATATGCCTTTGTGAGTTGGACGGGTAATCCACGTGTGAAAAGATCGGTGCGATCGGTGTGGTCTCACAGTTCAGTTGGCAGAGTGTGGGTTGTATGAAATCGTAGGCGGAGTCCGTGTGCGGATTCAAATCCCATTGAAGCTACTGAACTTTTAACAATTGAAACATAAGAAGTGTTTACGTTTATCCAGATCGATTCCACAAGCAGAGACATTGAGTCTGCGTGGAGCATCTGGGAATGCGTGGTCTAGAACAGAACTCCACTTTTGTCGCACATTAAAAACGTGGTCACCTTTGAACACAAGCTTTGTGTGAAAGGCTTTTGTGGTAGCGTTTTGGTTTTGGTTACCATTTAGGAATGGTCAACTGTATATATATATATATATATATATATATATATATATATATATATATATATA